TTATGGACAATAACATAGCCCTATGTTGTGTGCATATGTGACTCTCGCTACTCAATTCTCCCGTACGTTGGCAGGATGTCTTATCTTTTTAATAATTCCCTCTATTGGAGGGTATTTTAATAGTAAGAGTAATCTTTTATTTTCCAGTAGTAGGAATCCCAGCTTTATCACTGCCTGAGGTGATTATACTATTGTCCTTGGTCTTGATTCTCTGGAACTGCACTTTTCCAGAGAGCACTCACTCATTCACAAGCTTGAGACCTCCAAACCTTTGGGCTAGAGGGAAAGAAAACACTTTTCTCGCTATACAGTTGCCAGAAAAATCAGTCATCCAGTAAATAAAAAAAAGCTAGGGGACCGGCAGGTAGCATAACGGTTGGGGCATTGGACTCCCACGTGGTGGACTGTGGTTCGAGTTCTGGACCTGGTGGCCTGAGACTTACGCCAGGCACGTGTGCGTGAACAGAGGTACAATTAATAGATTCCCAGAAAGAAAAGGCAAGAATAATTAAAAATTATAATGATGAGATTTAAAGTAGGATATAATTTTTTGTTTGTTTAGTTTGCCAGAGGCACAAGTGCTCTCCAGAAAAAGACAGAGACAGAGGGAAAGGGAGAAGCAACCCCCAGTGGGGCATGGTCACATCAAAATCACTTGTTCTCCATCTCTGTCTCTCTCTATGGCAAAAAAATATATATATAAAAATACAGGTGGACATTATGGGTCCTTCTTCCTGAATCTCTTCCCTGCCAAGGTGATAATTAATTCCATTCCTTTCATTAAATATTCTTGGACATAAAGATCAGATTCTCAAAAACAATTTCTTTCTGTATTTAAACTGTATACTTTTTATTGAAAAAAGAGAAAACCAAGTGGCATTAACTGAGTGGACTATATGCATGGTGAGAATTTCCTGTTTTAATGTGTCTGGTACTAAAGTGTACAGGTCTCTATTTTAGTGCAGTGAAATCTGTCACTGAGAAATTTTGAAAATGTTATTTAAGATGTTAATATTATCTATGGGTATCATTTTTGTGTTGTGTAACCTAAGTAAGGCTTAGAAAGGGGAACATAAGTAGAGCGTCACCTTATAAATCTATATTAGAAGACATGCAGCAGTATAGTTTCATATAGTTAATCCCTTGATAATAGGCCATGTGTTATTGAAAAATAAATGTCAAACAAATTTTCAGTTGCTAATTTATTTGACATGGCTAGCACTCTTCACCCTTCTGCCAAGTGGAATGTACACTTCATGAAGACTATGAGCCTGTCAGTTCTGTTAACTGCTGTATTCCTACCCTGAACAGTTATCAATGTGTAGTAAAAAAAAAAAAAAAGTAATATTTACTGAGTAAGGCTGGTTCTGTGGCCTAATGGTTAAGGCAACCAGTTCCCAAATGGCTGATCTCACAGTTCAAGTGCCAGACCCATTACTCGAGAAATGTGTTAGGCATGGGGATCAGCAGATGACTGATTGTTATATCACTAGACTCCTGTGTCGTCAACTGCAGTTCAAGTCCTGGACCTGGTGACTTAGAACTCAGGTAGGGTGCGAGTGTGTGCGTGCCCAAAATCCCAAGAGGAGAATGGAAGAGAAGGGATTATGGTGTAGCCACCCCACTGGCAGGTGATTTCTCACATTCTGTTTCTCTGTCTCTGTCTGTCTCTCTGGTGAGCGTACACCCCCTATAGCAAAACTCTCTTAAAGAAAAAGAAACATGCTGGGCACATGTGCCTGTGTGCCTAAAATCCCAAAAAGAGGGAGAGGTGGAGGAGAAGGGATTGATTATAGCGTAACCATTCCCTATGAGGGGAGGTACTTTCTTTTCTCCTCCTTCTCTTTGTCTCCCTGTCTCTCTCTGGTGAGAGCACACACACCCTGTGGGAAAAATCTTTTTTTGAATAAATGAAAAATAGGAAGATAATTTAAAAAGCTTAAAAACTTGCACTGAGGGGACAGCAAGCAGCAAGGCAGCTGGGGTGAGGAGGACTACTGCCCAGGCATCCACTGCCCAGGCATTCGCTTCAAGAGCAGGTGAACCTTCAAGGTGCTCTTTGTTGCCACCAATGAAGGCTTTAAGGCTAACCGTGGGGAAATCGCCCTACTGTGTTCCACTACTGAATCCTGCTGGTGCACGTGCACCTCATAGGGGTGGGTAGGGACGTGCAGCTGGAGCTCGTCAAGATCTGAGCACAAAGGGCGAGAACATGGGTGGAGCCCTGGGTCTTCGGAGATGGCAAATAAAGTGTTAGCCCCCATCAAAAAAAAAAAAAAAAAGACACATATTTAAATTTTTAACAGAATTTTTAAAAAGACAAACATTTTCAGATATTTTAATCATATTTATCACACAGAGCAGAACAAAACCATAAATACACATACAACTACTTACAAATATGCAATCATATGTACAAAGAGTGGAAGGGAATATATAGAACAATATGTATTAGGATATTGAGGTTATTTTTTCTTTTTCTTTTTTATACTTGGCAAAACATCATACTGATGGACTACTTCAGTATTAGAGAATCTTATATAAATGAATTTGTTCAAGAGCTTCTCTGTCAATATCCTTTTGTGGGTATACATTATAGTTTAGTGGTATCTCTTCAACCCAGGGGGATAACTGTATATCAGTCTAGAATAAAAAAGATATAAACAAATATCACAAAAAATGATTATATATACATACATATCCCTTTTATTTATTTATTTATTTATTTGAGAGGTTTTTGCTATAGGGTGAGTGTGCTTGCCAAAAAGACAGAGAGCGAGAGAGAGAAAGAAAGCAAGAAATCACCCCCCAGGGGGATGGCCATGCCGCAATCCCTTCTCCTCCATTCTCCTCTCGGGATCTTGGGCACGCACACACACGCGCCCAGAGTGAGTTTAAGCCACTGGGTCCGGGACTGGAACCGCAGTCGACTACTTGGGAGTCCAGCCACATAGCCATTATACCAACTGCTAGTCCCATAAAATTATTATATTTTTTAGAATTTCAAGAAATCACTAATTAGTAATCAAACACAACAGATTTTATTATAATGAGCAGGAGTAAGTTTGCAATGTGCCAATAAAAAATTCTTTGTTATACTAATGATAGACCTGTAGATTTGGGAACTTTAAAAAATAAAGAAAATATACAATAATTTTTTTTTTTTGGAGAGATTTTCACTATAGGGCGCATGCGTTCGCCAGACAGACAGAGAGAGACATAGAGACAGAAAGTGAGAACTCACCCCCCAGGGGGGATGGTCATGCCACAATCCCTTCCCCTCCATTCTCCTCTTGGGATCTTGGGCACGCATGCACATGCGCCCGGTGTGAGTTTTAAGCCACTGGGTCCAGGACGCGAATCACGGTCGACTACATGGGAGTCTAGCAACATAGCCATTACGCTAACTGCTGGTTCCCACAATAATTATTTTAATATAAATAGTTTAATAATTATCATTAGGTTTAGGCCAGAAGGTGTTGTAGTGTTTAAGGTGCTGGATTCCTACATGGCCAACTGTGGTTCAAGCCCTGGACCTGGAGGCTTGAAAGTCATGCCAGGTGCATGGGCATGTGCGTCCAAATATTGCAGGAGAATGGAGGAGAAGGAATTGCAGTGTGGCCATCCTTCCTGGGAAGTGATTTCTCACTTTCCCTCTCTGTCTCTGTTCAGTGCATGCACCCTATAAAAAACACCTTTTTTAAAATTATCATTAGACTTAAAGAATAAAATATTAAAACAATGAGAATACACATAAAAAACCCCACAAACATTTCATATATCCGCAATGATGGTGCTAAGATGTGGAGCGCCCCCGCCCATCGCCCTCAGCGCCTATTTCAAAATGGCGCTCAACGGAAGCCCGCTGAGCGCTCAAAGCAGTAAACAACTTTAAGGAAGTAGGGCAGTGGGGAGCGTGGAGAGCACGGGAACACCGCATGCAACCAATCCTCTTTCGAGGACTGGCTTCCGTGCATGTGGACAATGATCTGATTGGCTAGGGGCCCTTTATAAGGCCCCGGGGAAAGGGAAAGGGGGAAGAACTTCTGTAACATAGCCTGGGGAAATAAAGTGCTGAAGAGAAGACCGTCTCTGGAGTCGTCAGTTGCGCGACACTAAGAAGGCTAATCTTTTTCCATAACCTTCATCAACCCCATCCCCTCACATTATAAACTTGATTCTCACATCATAAAATCTAGGGCTGGGACTAGCAGTTAGGGTAATGGCTATGTCACTGGACTCCCACGTAGTTGACCGTGGTTCGAGTCTCAGACCTGGTGGCTTAAACTCACACCGGGGCGCGTGTGCATGCATGCTCCTAGATCCCAAGAGGAGAATGGAGGAGAAGGGATTGTGGCGTGGCCATTCCCCCAGGGGGTGATTTCTCACTTTCTGTCTCTCTGTCTCTGTCTGTCTGGTGAGCGCATGCACCCTACAGTATAAACCTCTCTAAAAACAACAACAACAACAACAAAAATCTAGGGCCACCATTACATATAAGCATTTAAAGAAATTTTCTTAAATAGGAAAGCAGTAAAGGTATCAAGAGTTTATGGATGGGGTCTAGCAGATGACATAGTAGTTAAGGTCCTAGACTCCCACATGGTCAGCTACAGTTGGAATCCTGGACCTGGAGGCTTGAAAATCACACCAAGCATGTATGCTACGTGCCCAAAATTCTGGGGGCAGGGGGGGGGGATGGAAGAGAAGGGATTGTGGCATGCACTCCCCCACCCCCCACTATTGAGTGATTTCTCACTTTTTCTCTTTCTCTCTCCAGCAAGCACAAATGCCCTATGGCAAAACCAAAAAAGAAAACAGTTTATGTATGAGGACTCTTTCATAAATATCAATTTCTAATGGTTATCTGATCATATTTATGCAGTTAGTATGAAAGCTATTATTTTGGTAAGTGAAAAGCACTAAATTATTTCAACACGTATAGGAATTATAAATTAGAGGTCATATATATATATATATATTTTTTTTTTTTTGAGAGAGCTTTTTGCTATAGGGTGTGTACGCTCGCCAGAAAGAGACAGAGAGACAGAAAGTGAGAAATCATCCCCCTGGGGGGATGGCCATGCCACAATCCCTCCTCCATTCTCCTCTTGGGATCTTGGGCATGCACGCACACGCGCCTGGTGTGAGTTTAAGCCACCAGGTCCAGGACTCAAACCACGGTCAACTACATGGTAGTCCAGCGACATAGCCGTTACACCAACTGCTGGTCTCAGTGGTCATATATTTTTAAATGTACGTTTTTTTTTTACTTTGCCAAAGGGTACATATGCTCACCAGAGAGACAATTCCTTCTCCATTTCTCTATCCTGTCTAGATTTTGGAAAGCACACACACACATCCCTAGTGTGTTTTTCAAGCCACCAGGGTCATGACTCAAATCTCATGGTTGGCCATGTGGGATCTGGTTCCCTTAACTACCAGGCCAAGAGTGGACCCTAAAGTTATGTTTTTATTAGAAGGGAAAAGTAGGGTAAGATCACATCACTCATAGGGTAAAACCTCAAGGGGAGGGAATAAAGGAGGAAACTAACTCTTTTCTTTCTTTCTTTTCTTTTCTTTTCTTTTCTTTTCTTTTCTTTTCTTTTCTTTTCTTTTCTTTTCTTTTCTTTTCTTTTCTTTTCTTTTCTTTTCTTTTCTTTTCTTTTCTTTTCTTTTCTTTTCTTTTCTTTTCTTTTCTTTTCTTTTCTTTTCTTTTCTTTTCTTTTCTTTTTTTCTTCCTTCCTTCCTTCCTTTCTTTCTTTCTTTCTTTCTTTCTCTCTCTCTCTCTCTCCCCGCTTTTTTTTTATTTAAAATTTTATGCCAGAGGGTGAATGCACTTATGAGAGTGAAAAAAAGAGACAGAGAAAGAGAAAGTACCTCCCAATGGAGCATGATTGGGCTGCAGTCCTTTTCCTCCATTTCTCTATCCTGTCAGGATTCGCAGCACATAGACATTTGTACCCCGCATGACTATTCAAGCCAGGCCAGAGTGCAAATCCCAGCTGGCCATGTGGAACCTGCTCTGATGCAAAGCACTTAACTTCTGCCACATGGAGCTAGCCCAATACCTTTTCTTTATATACCTCTGTATTATCTCCCTGACTTTTGTGAAGCAGATCATTGATTTAAAAAAATTAAAGAGGGACCAGCAGATGGCATAATGACTACTTCGCTGGACTCCCATGTAGTCGACCGCAGTTTGAGACCTGGACCCGGTGGCTTAAACTCACACTGGGCGCATGTGCGTGCCTAAGATCCTGAGACAAGAATAGAGAAGGGACTGCGGTGTGGCCATCCCCCTGGGGGGAGTGATTTCTCGCTTTCTGTCTCTCTGTCTCTGTCTTTCTGGTGAGCGCATACATCCGATAGCAAAAACCTCTCCAAAAAAAAAAAAAATTAAAGATCATATTAGTGATTGTATATTTATTTTATTTTTTTAGGTTTTTGCCATGGTGTACATGCTCTTGCTGGAGACCAAGGAAAACTGAGAAATCACCCCCTGCGGGAATGGCTTTGCCACAGTCCTTTCTCCTTCATTCTTTTCTCGGCATTATGGATACATGGACACACATGTGCCCTCATGATTTTCAAACCGCTGGGTTTGGGACTTGACCATGGTCAGCCATGTGGGAGTCGAGTGCTTTAATCACCACGCCAACTGCAGGCCCTATGATTGTTTGTTTGTTTATTTATTTATTTGGGAGAGGCTTTTGCTATAGGGCATATGCGCTTGCCAGAAAGAGAGAGCTAGACAGAAAACAAGAAATTACCCCCCAGGGAGGATAGCCATGATGCAATCCCTTCTCCTCCATTTCCTCTTGGGATCTTGGGCATGTTTGCACACTCATCCGACGTGAGTTTAAGCCACTGGGTCTGGGACTCAAACTGTGGTCAACTGCATGGGAGTCCAGCGACATAGCCATTACACCATCTACTGGTCCCAGTTTTTTAAAGGATCAAATAGGTAGTTAAATTTAGCAGTGTATGCAAGGAAAGCACAACTAGAGGAAATACTCTAATTAAGAAATCCAGCAGTACCTTTCATCTGGAGATCTCAAAGAGTTTTACAAATACTAGTTAATTTTCACATAAAGATCAACTTATTGGGGGAACCAGCAGTTAGCGTAATGGCTATGTCGCTGGACTCCCACGTAGTCGACCGCAGTTCGTGTCCTGGTGGCTTAAAACTCACGCCGGGCGCGTGTGCGTGCGTGCCCAAGATCCCGAGAGGAGAATGGAGGAGACGGGATTGCGGCGTGACCATCCCCCCTGGGGGGTGATTTCTCGTTTTCTGTCTCTATGTCTCTCTCTGTCTGTCTGGCGAGCGCACGCGCGTAAAAATCTCTCCCCCCCCCCAAAAAAAAAGATCAACTTATTGGGTTGAATTTTATTGTTAAATATTGGTCTTGTTTTTTAATGGGAAATCTGAGAAACAAAAAAGAGATCTATGCAAGATTCCAAACTGACCTAGAGGCCAAACTACAGTGTGGACATCCAGTCTATTTGACTGATTCTAGATGCCTCTGTTCTTTTTGTTCTAAGGAACAAAGTTAGGATGTAGTTGTTCCAAGACAAATATTCAAAAGTGTTCATTAACCTAAAACTATAACCCTACAAAATTAAGAAAATTGGGTGATGGCCTAGTTATAGTGGCTTGCACTGCTAAGACAATGGGCCCTATAGGCTAGGACAACATGAGAAGCCTGGATTTGACTCCTGAGCCAACCTAAACTCTAGGCATAGTGGCATGTGCTTATAAACTCAGCAATTTTAGAGATTGAGGTCAAAGGACTGTGAGCTTGAGGCTGGCCAGGTAATACAGCAAGACTCTGCCTAAAAGAGCTAGGCATGGGATCAGCAGTTAGCAAAATGGCTATGTCGCTGGACTCCCACGTAGTCGACCGCTGTTCGCGTCCTGGACGCCGGTGGCTTAAACTCACGCCGGGCGCGTGTGCATGCGTGCCCAAGATCCCGAGAGAATAGAGGAGAAGGGATTGCAGCGTGGCCATCCCCCCTAGGGGGTGATTTCTTGCTTTCTATCTCTCTGTCTGTCTGGTGAGCGCATGCGCCCTATAGCAAAAACCTCTCCAAAAAAAGAAAAAAAAAAAAAGAGCTACGCATGGTGGCACATGTCTATAGACCTTCCTGGGAGGCTGAAGTAGGAAGATTGTGACCTGGGGATACATTATTTAAAGAAAAAAGAAAGCCTGGATGGAGAAGCAAGGGAATCTATATCAACATAAGAATGATCAATTTAGAACTCTTGCAGCCAGTGACTAAATCACAAACTGCTTAAGACATATGGTCTTGCTCTTCTATCAACTCACTATTTTCAGAGAAAACATTTATAGAATACAGCAATGTTATCAGAAAAAAAGGAGGGAAAAAGTTTGTTTTTGGTAAGATCTTTGTTGTAGGGCCCATGAGCTTGCCAGAGAGAGACAGAGATAGAGAGGGAAAGTGAGAAATCACCCCATGGGAGGATGGTCACACTGCAGCTCCTTCTCCTTCATTCTCCTCTTAGGATTTTGGGCATGCCTGTACACATATCTGGTGTGTTTTTCAAGCTACTGGGTCAAGGTCAAACCACTAAGTCAGTCACATGGGATCCAGCACCTTAACCTCCAAGCCACCTGTTGGCCCCATGAAGAAAAGTTTTAAATGCTGGAAAAGAGGCATACATACCTGGAGACCTGAGAGAGAATCTTCAAGACTTGGTACTGTCACTAATAATGATCCTTGCTTCCTTACATTACAGCTGATATATTCCCAGGCTCTACAACACATTAAAAACTGATATGTTAAAGCAACAATGAGACTTACACATCTGTTAGAATGGCCAAACTCTGAAATGCTGACAACAATAAATGCTGGCAAGAATGTAGAGGAACTGGGAACCAGCAGTTAGCGTAATGGCTATGTCGCTGGACTCCCACATAGTCAACCGCAGTTCACGTCCTGGACCCAGTGGCTTAAAACTCATGCCGGGCGCGTGTGCGTGTGTGCCCAAGATCACGAGAGGAGAATGGAGGAGAAGGGATTGCAGCGTGACCATCCCCCCTGGGGGGTGATTTCTCGCTTTCTGTCTGTATGTCTCTCTCTGTCTGTCTGGTGAGCACACGTGCCCTATCTCCATTTCTCTATCCTGTCAGGATTCGCAGCACATAGACATTTGTACCCCGCATGACTATTCAAGCCAGGCCAGAGTGCAAATCCCAGCTGGCCATGTGGAACCTGCTCTGATGCAAAGCACTTAACTTCTGCCACATGGAGCTAGCCCAATACCTTTTCTTTATATACCTCTGTATTATCTCCCTGACTTTTGTGAAGCAGATCATTGATTTAAAAAAATTAAAGAGGGACCAGCAGATGGCATAATGACTACTTCGCTGGACTCCCATGTAGTCGACCGCAGTTTGAGACCTGGACCCGGTGGCTTAAACTCACACTGGGCGCATGTGCGTGCCTAAGATCCTGAGACAAGAATAGAGAAGGGACTGCGGTGTGGCCATCCCCCTGGGGGGAGTGATTTCTCGCTTTCTGTCTCTCTGTCTCTGTCTTTCTGGTGAGCGCATACATCCGATAGCAAAAACCTCTCCAAAAAAAAAAAAAATTAAAGATCATATTAGTGATTGTATATTTATTTTATTTTTTTAGGTTTTTGCCATGGTGTACATGCTCTTGCTGGAGACCAAGGAAAACTGAGAAATCACCCCCTGCGGGAATGGCTTTGCCACAGTCCTTTCTCCTTCATTCTTTTCTCGGCATTATGGATACATGGACACACATGTGCCCTCATGATTTTCAAACCGCTGGGTTTGGGACTTGACCATGGTCAGCCATGTGGGAGTCGAGTGCTTTAATCACCACGCCAACTGCAGGCCCTATGATTGTTTGTTTGTTTATTTATTTATTTGGGAGAGGCTTTTGCTATAGGGCATATGCGCTTGCCAGAAAGAGAGAGCTAGACAGAAAACAAGAAATTACCCCCCAGGGAGGATAGCCATGATGCAATCCCTTCTCCTCCATTTCCTCCTGGGATCTTGGGCATGTTTGCACACTCATCCGACGTGAGTTTAAGCCACTGGGTCTGGGACTCAAACTGTGGTCAACTGCATGGGAGTCCAGCGACATAGCCATTACACCATCTACTGGTCCCAGTTTTTTAAAGGATCAAATAGGTAGTTAAATTTAGCAGTGTATGCAAGGAAAGCACAACTAGAGGAAATACTCTAATTAAGAAATCCAGCAGTACCTTTCATCTGGAGATCTCAAAGAGTTTTACAAATACTAGTTAATTTTCACATAAAGATCAACTTATTGGGGGAACCAGCAGTTAGCGTAATGGCTATGTCGCTGGACTCCCACGTAGTCGACCGCAGTTCGTGTCCTGGTGGCTTAAAACTCACGCCGGGCGCGTGTGCGTGCGTGCCCAAGATCCCGAGAGGAGAATGGAGGAGACGGGATTGCGGCGTGACCATCCCCCCTGGGGGGTGATTTCTCGTTTTCTGTCTCTATGTCTCTCTCTGTCTGTCCGCACGCGCCCTACAGTGAAAATCTCTCCCCCCCCCAAAAAAAAAAGATCAACTTATTGGGTTGAATTTTATTGTTAAATATTGGTCTTGTTTTTTAATGGGAAATCTGAGAAACAAAAAAGAGATCTATGCAAGATTCCAAACTGACCTAGAGGCCAAACTACAGTGTGGACATCCAGTCTATTTGACTGATTCTAGATGCCTCTGTTCTTTTTGTTCTAAGGAACAAAGTTAGGATGTAGTTGTTCCAAGACAAATATTCAAAAGTGTTCATTAACCTAAAACTATAACCCTACAAAATTAAGAAAATTGGGTGATGGCCTAGTTATAGTGGCTTGCACTGCTAAGACAATGGGCCCTATAGGCTAGGACAACATGAGAAGCCTGGATTTGACTCCTGAGCCAACCTAAACTCTAGGCATAGTGGCATGTGCTTATAAACTCAGCAATTTTAGAGATTGAGGTCAAAGGACTGTGAGCTTGAGGCTGGCCAGGTAATACAGCAAGACTCTGCCTAAAAGAGCTAGGCATGGGATCAGCAGTTAGCAAAATGGCTATGTCGCTGGACTCCCACGTAGTCGACCGCTGTTCGCGTCCTGGACGCCGGTGGCTTAAACTCACGCCGGGCGCGTGTGCATGCGTGCCCAAGATCCCGAGAGAATAGAGGAGAAGGGATTGCAGCGTGGCCATCCCCCCTAGGGGGTGATTTCTTGCTTTCTATCTCTCTGTCTGTCTGGTGAGCGCATGCGCCCTATAGCAAAAACCTCTCCAAAAAAAGAAAAAAAAAAAAAGAGCTACGCATGGTGGCACATGTCTATAGACCTTCCTGGGAGGCTGAAGTAGGAAGATTGTGACCTGGGGATACATTATTTAAAGAAAAAAGAAAGCCTGGATGGAGAAGCAAGGGAATCTATATCAACATAAGAATGATCAATTTAGAACTCTTGCAGCCAGTGACTAAATCACAAACTGCTTAAGACATATGGTCTTGCTCTTCTATCAACTCACTATTTTCAGAGAAAACATTTATAGAATACAGCAATGTTATCAGAAAAAAAGGAGGGAAAAAGTTTGTTTTTGGTAAGATCTTTGTTGTAGGGCCCATGAGCTTGCCAGAGAGAGACAGAGATAGAGAGGGAAAGTGAGAAATCACCCCATGGGAGGATGGTCACACTGCAGCTCCTTCTCCTTCATTCTCCTCTTAGGATTTTGGGCATGCCTGTACACATATCTGGTGTGTTTTTCAAGCTACTGGGTCAAGGTCAAACCACTAAGTCAGTCACATGGGATCCAGCACCTTAACCTCCAAGCCACCTGTTGGCCCCATGAAGAAAAGTTTTAAATGCTGGAAAAGAGGCATACATACCTGGAGACCTGAGAGAGAATCTTCAAGACTTGGTACTGTCACTAATAATGATCCTTGCTTCCTTACATTACAGCTGATATATTCCCAGGCTCTACAACACATTAAAAACTGATATGTTAAAGCAACAATGAGACTTACACATCTGTTAGAATGGCCAAACTCTGAAATGCTGACAACAATAAATGCTGGCAAGAATGTAGAGGAACTGGGAACCAGCAGTTAGCGTAATGGCTATGTCGCTGGACTCCCACATAGTCAACCGCAGTTCACGTCCTGGACCCAGTGGCTTAAAACTCATGCCGGGCGCGTGTGCGTGTGTGCCCAAGATCACGAGAGGAGAATGGAGGAGAAGGGATTGCAGCGTGACCATCCCCCCTGGGGGGTGATTTCTCGCTTTCTGTCTGTATGTCTCTCTCTGTCTGTCTGGTGGTGATCTCTCACTTTCTGTCTCTCCGGCAAGTCATGTGCTTAATAGAAAAAAATCTACCAAAAAAAAAAAAAAAAAAAAAAAAAAAGAATGTAGAGGAACTAGGGACTAACAAATAGTATAGCTGTTATGTCACTAGATTCCCACGTGGCTGACCAATTCGAGTCCCAGACCCAGTGGCTTCAAAATCATGCTGGGAATGTGTGGAGAATGGAGAAGGGATGGCCATTTCCCCTGGGGTATGATTTCTCGCTTTTTATCTCTCTGTCTATCAGGCAAGCACACACACCCCTCTCAAAAAAAAAAAGAATGTAGAGTTATTAGAATTTCCATTCATTGCTGGTGAGAATCTCAAAAGGTACAGCCATTTTGGAAGATAGTTTGGTGATTTCTTACGAAATTAAACATACTTTTACCTTCTAATGCAGCAACTGTAGCCTTGGTATTTACTCAATTACTGAAAACTTATCTCTACACAAGAGCCACACATGGATGTTTACAACAGCTTCATTCATAATTGCTAAAACTTGGAAGCAACCAAGATGTATTTTAGTAAGTAGATAAACAGAAAAACTAGTATATTCACACAATGGAATGTTATTCACTACAAAGAAATGAGCTATCGAGTCATGAAAAGACATGGAAGAACCTTAAATGCGAATTAATAGGTGAAAGAAGCCAAATTGAAAAGGTTATATATTGTAAGATTCCAAATATATGACAGGCTGGGAAAGGCAAAACTGCTGAGATGGTAAAAGATTAGTGGTTTCTAGCGGTGAGGGGAGAGGGAGGGATAAATAGGTAGAACATGGAGAATTTTTAAGGCAGGGAAAATATGATATATGATACTTTAATGGTGGATACATATTATTATATGTTTGTATTTATATATATGCTGAATGTACATCAAGAGTGAAACCTAGGGGCCGGCAGGTGGCATGGTGGTCAAAGGCGCTGAACTCCCACATGGTCAACCATGGTTCAAGTCTCAGACCTAGTGGTTTCCTTCTTACTTTCCCTCTCTCTGTCTCTCTCTCTCTGGTCAAATTGTAAAACAATAATAAATAGTAAATACAACTAAAATAAAATAACTAAAATAAAAGAGTGAAACCTAATGTAAACTATGGATTTTGGATGATAATCATATTTAAAAATATAGGTACATCAACTGTAACCAATGTATTCTTTTGCTGGGAGAGATTGGTAATGGGGGGATTTGCATGTGTAGGGGTTGGGATATGGGAAATCTCTGTACCTTCTTCTCAATTTTGCTGTCAACCTAAAAGTGCTCCAAATAAAAATATTTTTAAAAAACTGGTTGAATCTAAAGCATGCCCTTATCAATGGTTCTGTTACCTAGATTAAAAAATAAGATTATGTTAAATTTTAATAGATACTTGAAATCTTTTCTTAAGGGAGGATGATATGAGCAGAGAATACAGCATTGGCAATACCAAGAAATCCAGATGGGCAAAATGTTTGCTCCCAGGACAGCAGCAACCTATTAGAAGCTGACAACTCTTCCTGTTCCTAAATGGATGCTGGCAAAGTTAGGACCTTACAGTACTGAGGAGATTAATAAGATGAGTATTTAGGTTATAATAAGGTATTGTGAATAGGGGCAAAACTCAGTTTCAGAACTGGATCAGCAGTAAAAGCCCCTTAAACTCTTTATGAAGTAGGTCAGAATTGGTTCCACAGACTGGAACCAAGGTGAGGTTGAGAGTGAGGATGAAGAATCGTGGAGAAACAAAGCCCATACAAGCCTGAAACCTAATGAAGACTGATAATAAGAGTAAAATATGTTGATTAATCTTTTAGAGTAACATCAAGAGTGCAATGATACTTAACTTGGCTGTCAGTAATATTCAGTGGAAAGACTTTTGGTATAACATGGCACTTGAGAAGTTACCATGATCAGCGAATCTGAGAGCATGAAGGAAATGCCAGGGATATGTGTGTGTGTGTCAGAGGACAGTGTATGTTTGATCTATTCTTTTTAACTATTAGTGTAGACACAAACTGGATTCTTATACTGGGCATGAGTTCTAACAGCACACCACACTGTGGGGGAGCTATGATCAAGCACTGCAGGGACATGCATCTCTTGCAGTTGTCCAGTAGGCAATAGTATCATTTCTATTTATTTTAGTTACAGTAATGGCTACTAGGCTTAGCTCTAGAGCTTATTAGGCAAAATAATACGATGTCCCTTAAGCTAAATATAAAACCATGTAGCAGTCAGTAAATGTCATTGTGTTTGGGCAAGAGCTGTCATGTTGTTTTAATGTGGTAACTAAAAGTGACATATTTTATAAGTTTCTTTAAGAAGAATGAAAAAGCAGAGTATATTGGCATGGTTGGGCATGGCTCAATCTAACACTTGCTGATTCCAGTAAGCTGTCACTACAGTAGTTGTATGTGTCTCACCAACTGAAAACGTATACAGAGGTAACTTTTTTTGGTGGGGAGAGTTTTTTTTGTTTGTTTGTTTGTTTGTTTTTTGCTATAGGGCATATGCACTTGCTAGAGAGACAGAGACAGAAAGTGAGAAGTCACCCCATCCCCACCCCGGGCCCAGGGAGATGACCATGCTACAATCCCTTCTCCTTCAGCCTCCTTTCAGGATCTTGGGCATGGCGCACGTACACGCTCCTAGTGTGAGTTTCAAGCCACCAGGTCTGAGACTTGAACCACAGTTGGCCTCATGGGAATCCAGCACCTTAACCACTACACTACCTGCTGGCCCCAAAGAGATTTAACTTTTAAACTAAAAATTACTCAATGAGGGTCAGGTGGCGTGATGGCTCGAGTGCTGGACTCCCATGTCGCTGACCACGGTTCAAGTCCCAGACCTAGAGGCTTGAGAATCATGCTGGGTGTGTGTGCATGCATGCTTAAGATCCAGAGAAAAGAATGGAGAACAACTGTGGCAGAAAAGAATGGAGAAGGGACTATGGCATAGCCATGCTCCCACAGGCTGATTTCTCACTTCCCTCTGTCTCTGTTTTTCTCTGGCAAGCACATACACCCTATGGCAAAAACCTACAAAAAACTCCCCAAAAAAACAAAAAAACTTTGAGTATGAGATAAGGTATTACCCTGTTAAAAAAGGTCTACTGTATTCTGAAGACTAAGTCTTTCCTGAGTGTACACTTTTTATTATTGTGATGTATTTTGTTTTTTCCTTACAAAGTATCTGCTAAAGTAGCATCATTCTTTCTTTTAAATATTTATTTATTTATTATTATTTTATTTTGACTAAAGAGAGACAGAGAAAGAGATGGGAAATGAGAAGGCAAACTGCCAGGTCTGGGACATGAACCACAGTTGGCCATGTAGGTAAGAGTCCAGAACCTTAACCACCTCACCATCTGCTAGTCCTAGTAGTAGCATTCTACTTGTCCAGATTCTGATTAAAGTTATGAATTTTCTGGCCAGCAGGTGGTGGTGTGGCTAAGGAACTGGATGGCCATATAGCTAACCATGGTTCAAATCCCTGACCTGGCAGATAGAACAATCACGCTAGGCAAGTGCATGTGTGCCCAGAATCCCAGAAGAAGTAAGGAGAAGGGATTGCAGTGTGGCCATCTCCCCGGAGGAGATGTCTCATTCTCTCTCTCTCTCTCCCCAGCAAGCACAAAACCCCTATGGCAAAAAAAGGAAAAAAAAATAAAAGATTATGAATCTCTAGGGGTTAAAAGCTGTGTTGTCCATTTGCTTTCACTTTCTGTAAAATAAAATATACATAATCAGATTCGTCAGAATAATTCCAATACCACAATGCTTTACTGTATCATCTAAACTTGCTTCTAAATACTGTCATTCATAATGAAGGTAATTAACCACAAGAGGCTAAAACCCATCTATATTTCAAATTCATTGCACTAGATTAATTTAGGGGAAATAAGTAAACAATGTGCTAACACATATTTGGTGAATGATGTGAAGTTCATGAATGAATGTACCAAGAAAAGTTTTTAAGACAACCCATATATGCACTAATATTTAATTCTCCAACAATTATGCAGTGTTTTGGGTAACATCATTAAGAGGCAAAAAGCTAGTCAGATTGTCTGTTGGAAATCACGCTAAAAGAGGCCACTGTGATCAGAGCAGTTTTGGTTATGTTGTGTTTCTAGTCTTTAGCCTGTGACCAAAAATAATCAGCCATTCTTGGTGAGCTCTGATTATCTGATTAACTTTCTGCTGAACAAGATTCTTTCAAAATTATTTCAGCTATGACTTTCATGGTGACACTAACCCAGGAGTAACTGGGAAGTGTGTGTGTCTGTGTGTATAGAGGTGGGTTAAGAGGAGAAGGATGTATGGAAGGTCAAGTAGTGGCAAAATAAAGAGGGTAGCTATTCAGGATGCCACTCAGTATTAACTATTTATGTCCATAATTATGTGCATTTTTATCTCTGCAGTGGAAACCTTACTGATATACTAATTCAAACGTATTACTGCAACTCCTTTTCGTGCATATGGAAAAGTTTTCCTGTACCTAGATTTACAAATATAACACTATAAAAAGTAAGAAACTAACAAGCCTAATTGCCAGAAATCAGTATCTCAACTATGGCTATTGAAATTTTTAATTAGAGAATCTTATGTCCTGAATAGCCACAAAGCATCAATTATAGAGGGTAAGTCCAAAAAGCAATCATAGATTTGCTAGATTTCCTACTATTTGAATTGTTGAATAAACTCCAGAAACCTACTACTGATTTTTAAAAAATTATTTTATTTAACTTTATTTATTTTAATTTGACCAGAGAGGGAAAGA